CCATATTAATCGATAGAATGTAGCATGCTTCATCTCTAGTCAAAAGACTGCAAATTGAAGTGCTTGCAATCTTTCAATATTTTTTCATTAACGTGTTTGAAACTTAGAGCAAGTTGCACAATGCACATTGAACCGCAATCATGCGTGAACCCTAATGACTAATAACAAAATAAAGAGATGTGTACAGTAATGAGACATATCGCAGCACCGCATTACTGTGTATATGAGACACGCAGCGGTAATATGTACATAATTTATTTGAAGTTTTCAATTGACTTGCTCATGCAAAATTAAGTAGGCAACTCCAGATTGTGATCCTGAAAAGCACGAGCAATTTGCTTTCGTAATTATTAAAGGTTTTAAAATTATAGGAGTTGAGCAAAAGGCAAGAGCGGACTACTGCACCATTAATACGGAATCTACTTCCACGCGCTAGAGAAATAGTCTAACCCATAATCGAGACTTGAAGTATTGCTTCTCACGGTTATTCCGCTTTCTGTTCCACACTAATTTCTAGTTTCTGAACGCCGGCCATGACGGGCAATCGTGGATCAAATTTTGACGAACTTTGATAGGAATCAAATAACTACAGTCATGTATGGCAGGCCACCCACAGTGCGCGGGGCTTACAATGGCTTCAACAAAAATTATGCGCTTCTCAGCGTAATCAGCTAGAGTTTTTTGCACGTAAACTACATATGTTTGATCCAGAAAAGTTCATCTTTTGCTGAATGCCACAAAATATTCGCATCAGGAGTGCCTCCGTCTGTTCAAGGTGTGAGGCGGGACTTTGAACATGTCAGGAACTCTGAATGTGTCAGGGACTTTGAACATGTCAGGAACTCTGAATGTGTCAGGGACTTTGAACATGTCAGGAACTCTGAATGTGTCAGGGACTTTGAACGNGGAACTTTGAACGTGTCAGGAACTTTGAACGTGTCAGGAACTTTGAACGTGTCAGGAACTTTGAACGTGTCAGGAACTTTGAACGTGTCAGGAACTTTGAACGTGTCAGGAACTTTGAACGTGTCAGGAACTTTGAATGTGTCAGGAACTTTGAACGTGTCAGGGCCCGCTGGGCCAAAGGACGAATGGGTGGAAACAGCACGGCGTGCGGCTTGGATAGAGCGGGACGAAAGCGGGAAAAGAGAGTCTGTTTCCTTCTGCATTGTGTGCGGCCAGGTACGTTTGGTGTGAATAGACGTACTGTAAATACAGGTGGAATGAGAGGGGGGAAAACAAATGTTTTATGTGTGTCGGAGATGAGAAGAACATGTTTTGGTACATTGTTTCTCTTGTTTTAGGATGTTGACATTGATAACTGAATGTTTTAGTCTTTTAGAATTGTAGTGAATGCGTATTAATTGAAATTTTTTAACTGCCGAGTCCGACTTGAACTGCAGCGTAAATAACCGATCTAAAGATCTTGACCGGAGGCCAGCACGCACCTTAATTCAAATTCCAAAGCTACTGAACTGAAATTCAACCGCCGAATAACTCACGTTCACTATAAAACAGAATATTCTATTAAGATGATCTTTCCAGCTTGTTTTTTCCCTGCTAGCCTAGTGGGCTGTGATTGGCTGAGAGAAACACGCCACCTCACGTGACGCAGACAGGGAGTGGCTGAAAGTTGAGCCCGCAGAGACGGGGTGATGCCGTGATGATGGATGCAGGAGTGAAGCTGGAGGCTGACGGTGGATGCAGGAGTGGAGCTGGAGGCTGACAGTGGATGCCAGGAGTGGAGCTGGAGGCTGATGTGTGATGCCAGGAGTGGAGCTAGAGGCTGACGGTGGATGCAGGAGTGGAGCTGGAGGCTGACGGTGGATGCGAGGAGTGGAGCTGGAGGCTAATGTGTGATGCGAGGAGGGGAGCTGGAGGCTAATGTGTGATGCGAGGAGTGGAGCTGGAGGCTAATGTGTGATGCGAGGAGTGGTGCTGGAGGCTGACGGTGGATGCGAGGAGTGGTGCTGGAGGCTAATGTGTGATGCGAGGAGTGGAGCTGGAGGCTAATGTGTGATGCGAGGAGTGGAGCTGGAGCTGCCGTTGAGAGGGAGCTGAAGGAAGGCGCTGAACGGGAGCTGAGTAGAAAGTGAATGAGAGAACTATAGATTGACGCTGAAAAAACTGAGTAGGGGAGACGTTTAATGAAAGAGAGTTTCTGATTAACGCTGAAGAGAAAAAGAAATGCGCGGTAATGGACGGTGTACGGAGCTGGAGAATGACGCTAAGAGGAATTTACTTTCTGCCTAGAAAATGTAACAATTTTTGGGGGGAAATTCACACAGGATCATCGTCATTGATAGAGAGTTCATAAAATTGTTGCGGCAAATGAGTAACTTCATTTCAGATTTGAATAGTTTTGCTGCTGATTTCAGACTGGATATGTTTTTTTTTTGTCTGTGGCTATACGTATTAGACATATAGGACGTATATACAAAATTAGTTATTTAATTTGACATACTTTTTCTTTCTATGTAATTAAGGTTTCAGAACAAAGGAGATTGGAAGCTAAATAATAGAAAATGCACTCAGAAGAAAGCCTAATATGTTATTTCGTAGCTAATCACATTAATAATCAATTAAGTTATTTTGTACGAATAGCCTCAACTAAGAATAAAGTATTCGAATACGAAGGCTTAGTGACACATCGCCGGTAACCTTGACAACCCATTACTGCTCTAGCAAAGCTTCAATTATTCAATGCTGCTCCTGAATGTCCTCATTCATGCCTGCCGAGACATCGAATTGATGTTACTTGATGTGTGTGTAATCAACCCTCATGCCATCTGACACCGGATTGGCTACGTGGCGCCATGTGACCTTCTGTCATGACGTCACTGCGGCCCATATCAGTTGTCGTCCATATTAGAGATATAAATTAATATGTTTATACTCTTAGCAACTATGATGTTCAGTCAGTCGTACATTATATGGACGAGTCGCGTTAGGTTGGCTACAAGTCTGATTATGCGTAGTTGGCCTTGCGTCATAGGACGCCTGACTGGGACCAAGAAGGGACTGATGAAACGCCAGTCTTCCTACTGGTCAAGTTTATTACAGTAACGATGGAACGATAAGTACCATAAGGTACTTATTTATCACTTGTGATAGAGTTAAATTACTCAATTCACCCGTTGCATTGCCTTCGACTCGAATAATATTAAGTCATTATCTACTTAAAGCAGGAACTGACTCCCCGAGCCTGATACCAAGTGAAGCCATCGGCATAAGCATTTATTCCGACGATGTTACAATGTTTGTTTATGAGAGCTTTTCTTGGGTTACACAACTTAGCCTTGTGTTAAACGATCTGTTAGTCGTGCGTTACACAGGCTCTTGTTACTTTGGATTATACGCAACCAATTACACGTCACGTGGAGTGCTATCTGCACAGGCGTGAGGTGTCCGATGGCTCAGGTCGGCCGCTACTGCGCCTAATGCAGCTCGAGTTAGAGCACAATCCAAAGTCCACTACCAATGACAGAGGATAATTTTCACAACACTAAGGTATTCACAACATTTGATTGCTGAGTGGAGAACATTGGAGTGGGGGAAATGCCGATTGGAGTTGAGCACTAATGCATAGGAGTTGAGCCAATGTGCTCAAAGGGGCTTGGTCTGCTTGAAAACTGCCATGGTAATTTAAAAAAAAATACCTTAGACTTGCCTTAGCTCGAATTGCACGCACTGTAATAAAGATATCTCATTTAGCTCCAGTTGCAGGCATTGTAAACATAAGAGCTTAAGCCTCCTCTAGTTCCAATTACAGGCGCTGTAATAAAGCTTAGACCTCCTTTAGTTTCAATTGCAGGCACTGTAAAAAAGAGCTTAGACCTCTTTTAGATTCAATTACAGGCACTGTAATAAAGCTTAGACCTCCTTTAGTTCCAATTGCATGCACTGTAATAAAGCTTAGACCTCCTTTAGATTCAATTGCAGGCACTGTAATAAAGCTTAGACCTCCTTTAGTTCCAATTACAGTCACTGTAAAAAAGAGCTTAAGCCTCCTCTAGTTCAAAATCCAGGCACTGTAAATAAGAGCTTAGACCTCCTTTAGCTGAGTTGACGCTTGACTCGGAAAAACATGTATAGCAATTAATTATAATAGTCATGACTCGTACCCGATGAACTGACGGCAAGAAATAGCACGTCTCGCATTGGCAGTTAATAGCAAGCGAATTGATATGATATGAATTATTAATTATGGAAGCAGGGTGGTATTGCGACCCTACCATTAAAATACCTTGCATACATTCTAGACTGCAGCTATATAATACCCTAATTTTAAATTGTATTAACTTCTGAAATATGAACAATTTATCAATCGAACATTTATGTATCTGCATTGTTTATTATTGTTGAAAGCTATAGAAGCAACATATGTATAAAATATTCTCATGAAAAAATGGCGAAATGAAATAAAATTATGTATTGCACAGTTCAACCCCGGTTCCATAATTGCGTAATAAAAAAGAATGATTGAAATAGACGATATATTTTTCTTTGGCATTGAATGCTCCTTAGTTCATCACTCACGACATAGCTGCTATATCCTGTCTGCCTGTAAATCCGCTAAGTCAGCTAAAATATTTAATTACTAATACATTTTTTCTCGATTAAAATTTGCATTATCCATTACTTCCGAACGTCAGCAAATGTCACTGTGTTCAACACTATGCACTGCGATTGCGCCATCAGTGGAACAATCAACATACCGCCCTTCGGGCTTGCTGGATTATAGAGTACCGTTAGCCTGTCATTTTAGTTGAAATTTTACATTCAATCACAATACGAAATTCATTTGCTACATCATCGTGACATGCCTTATATCTTTCTGGAATTTAAATATTTAATAATGAATAGAATCGAAAAATAATAACCATATTTCATATCCTTATATCTTTCTGGAATTTAAATATTTAATAATGAATATAGCCGAAAACAATAATCATATTACATATTTAGATTTTGGAGTAATGAATTGTTTGTTTTTTCAGGAGTGGGCCTGGTGATGAGGAAGATGGCTAGCACAGCGACTCCAAGCCTCGAGATCTCAGAGAACGAAGGCACCTACACCATGAAGACCGTCACTACCTTCAAGACCACCGAGATCAGCTTCAAGCTCGGCGAGCCTTTCACCGAGACTACCGCCGATGGCAGGGTTGTCCAGGTACTTACGACATGGACATGGTCGAAAAAACTAATGTCCACCAAGACCACCAAGATTTAATATTAAAGTTGTAATTATTCGCTGATTATTGAAATTAGTCGCTTGCACCGAGACCACCGCCGATGGCAGGGTTGTCCAGGTACTTACGACATGGACATGGTCGAAAAAACTAATGTCCACCAAGACCAGGAAGTCAAGGAAACTATGATCATTTGCTTTTATAGTATTTAAAGTCGTAATTAGTCGCTGATTATTGAAATTAGTCGCTTGCACTGAGACTACCGCCGATGGCAGGGTTGTCCAGGTACGTACGGCATGGACATGGTCGAAAAAGATAATGTCCTCCAAGACCAGGTATACACGTCAAGGAAACTATAATCATTTGCTTTTATAGTATTTAAAGTTGAAATTAGTCGCTAATGACTAAAATTAGTCGCTTGCACTGAGATTTTTGAATGAGTTGTTGACCAACAACAAGATAGTTTTTTAATTGCGTTGGTATGGCTCTCTCAATTGTCTCACACGGATTTGGAAACAACATTTGGAACGGCTGAGTTGCTGTTGCTTGCCGTAAGAGATGGTAGTATAGCTTATAGATACCAGTTAAAATAAAGAAACTACACCCCAGTTGAGTTTGGTGCAGCCGTCAGTAAGGGATAGCATGAAATGCTAGCGATTAAAAAAATATTTTATAGGAAATAGAATGAATTGAAAGAAAATTCAGTTGAATTGAAAAGTGAATTTGATTTATTAAAATATTACATTCAATTACCCGTTGGAAAATGTTCGATTGGGCCACATGGGGAACAAGGCTAATCGATAATTTAGCTCCTAAAAGCTGGTGCAATAGAAACGATTTATCAATCGGATGATAACCCAAATATTAAATATCTACTGAATGAAAAAGGTAAAACTGGAATATACTTCTAGTTTAACATCGCGTCGCTTGTATTTCTCATTACATTCACGCTGGAAACATTATCTTCCTTGCTTCATATTAATTAACACCAGTCTTTGCCGATGTAAACCTGCAGCATGAGTTCCTCCAAGAGCTTGGTCATCTTTTAATGTTGGCTAACACCTGTGCCGAAAGGGACCAAATCTGGCGAATAACTTGCACGTCATTCAATTGGTCAACTTTTAATGTTGGTCAACTTCTAATGTTTAATTATTGGTCAACTTTTAATGTTGGCTAACACACCTGTGCCGAAAGGGACCAAATCTGGCGAATAACTTGCTGGCTTGCAAGCAAAGGTTACTTAAAATGCGAAGTGCGATAAGTGCAAGAATGTGAGCGGTAAACAAGTTTATGGGGAAAATGCCAGGATAAATTTATTTCCAGAAATTAATTAGATTGAACAAACAGTAATTTAATCTAGAATTTGAAAATAAAGAAAACGCCAAATAAATTCACTGTATCTTCAATGAAAACGTTTCGGAGACCATGACGCAACAATTGCATAATATGGAATTTATGAATTGATTAAGTTATGAAGAGTTGAGTGCAGGAGGAAAATCATTTAAGGAAAATCATTTATGAGCAAAAATTATATTAGATGTTACTATTTTACATATGTCATGTGCAAAAGATAGAGGCAAATTATTTTCCGATTCAGTGTAGATCGTATTCGCCTACTTATAGTAGCTTCTAATTCTATAATATTATTAACAAACTTTGGTTCTAAAATCGTATTATTCCAAATGATATTCAGTAAGCTATTTAGTGCAGCTAAGCTTGGTATTTTTACAAAAAATTCTGCATAAGCCAAGTTAAAAATACTTTAATATTATTTTCAAAAATTGATAAATAAAAACTCGGATGGATGCAAAAAAAATCAAGTTGTTCAATATATATTAATAACTTCAATATTGTGCACTGAATGTATATTTAATTTTTTAAGAATGTGTAACACCCATTTACTCATCAGAAGCGGATTTACTCATCAGAAAAACGGATTATTTCAAATGATATTCAGCAAGCTATTTGATGAAGCTAAAACTCGGTATTTTTACAAACAATTTCCGCATAAACCAACTTAAAAATACTTGAATATGACATTCAAAAAATTGATAAATCAGAAGCACAAGTGTAATAAACATTACTCATCAGAAGAACAAGTTTAAAACACCTACTGTAGAGAATCTGTCCCAGAAAAAATTTGTTATTAATTCAAGAAAATGTGTATTATATAATGTTAACAAGAGGAACCTATAACAGGACGAATACGATCATGAACACTTAATTAAAGCACATGAGGCTAGGGAATGTTTCTGATCAAGGGACATATTTTTTATCCTGGTAGCATCCTCTTTATTCTATAAGCCAGTTCTGAATTCCAGAAGCAAAGGTGATTTTTATCAGACTGGAAAGCCAATGCATTTCACTTGAAAATTTAGAAGCAACACTTGGCTGCTACTTTTTTAAAACATCTGCTCGAATTTATAATTTTTTGTAATAATCTTGATAATATTATTAATTGATGAATTTATCAGACTGGAAACCCAATGTGTTTATTTCACTTGTAGCAAATTTAGAAGCAACACTTCGCTGATACTTTTTTAAAACATCTGCACGAATTATCATTTTTTGTAATAACCTGGATAATATCATTGATGAATTAATTTGTTACGAATTATAATTTTTTGTATTATCCCTAAAAATATTTTTAATAAACTAATTTGTTTGCAGTCGACAATCACCCTGGATGGCAACACGATGACTCACAAGCAAGTGGGCGACAAGGAGAAGAATGAGAAGGACTCCATTCTCACCAGAGTGTTCAATGACACTGGAATAGACATGGTGAGTGACATCGTACTTGTATAAAAGTAAGGTTGTTTATTAAATGGTAAATGGTATCAATTTTTTTAGCATCAACAGGGAAAGTTGTTTATAACACGAGTATTGTCATGGTGAATAGCATCAATACTTGTGAAGTTAAACAGGGAAACTCGCTTGTTTCATTTTAATTTTCATGCTGGGTAGCATCAATCCTAATGAACATCGACAAGGAAGATTGCCTATTACATGTGTATAGTTATACGAGTACATGTATAGCCATATATACTGGGTCACAGTAAAATAATTCAACGTTAAAAAAACTCTCAGGCCAACAGGAGTAATAACAAAAATTATTAAACGGGAGTCATCAGCGTCTGGAATAGTCCCAGAAAATGGTCTATAAATTTATCATTTATTTATTTATCTGCCTTAATGGTTTCTGCACGGCTTGCTATTGTGACTTCGTTTGCATAAACGAAAGTAAAGTATGAATGCTTACTTTAATGGGACTTCCATCAGTAGAAAATTAATTAGAAGTAGGCTCAAGACAGCTCCATAGGGTACACCTGCTCCCACAACTTGACGATCTGGCAAAACTCGCAATGCGATCATTCGATAAGGTGTAGGCTTAGCAACCTAAATCGACGCTCTTTTTGCGATTTGATTTAAAAAGTAAAATCTCTTTGAGTAATATCAGAAGTTGCTAAAATGGAATTATGCAACAGTTTTATTGTTTCCCCTCAACACTTTCTTTCATAACTCTCAGTATAGTCAACATCTTAATATTAATTTACCTCAGCCTCTTCTTGCCATTTGCAGGGCAAGGGTACATTCTCCTCCATTGGCACATTCTCCATTTAACAAAATTGCCTCATCATAGCTGTCTTTTAAAGCACAAACTTTCAGTTACCCCTTCGTAGAAGATGCATTCATGCTGGCTCATTGTCAGGAAAACCATTCAGGCACGCCTTACGTACTCTACTGTGCGTAGTGGGAGTGCAATCGCACACACATCCAAGCAGTAAAACTTGCTAAAACAAAACGTAAATCTCTTGCAGTAAAGCATTCTTGCCCTCGCTTCGGTAAGCAAATCTAGTTCAAATTCCCCCTTATATAATCCTCCGCAGAAAATTGTCATCATCTTATACAAACAAACCGTTCACATTTTCCCTGTATTCACGTAAAGTGCCCTATTATCAACCAAATATGCGGCATGTAATTAATTAAGATACCCTCTATAGTCAGATTTTCCCTTCATGTGCCAGTAAATCCAATGCCTTAATTTAGGCCGAATTATTATCACGACATTATCCGACCTCAAACACTCCATATAACTCATTTACCCTTCGATGTATTTGCCCACTTGGCTTCCAGTGCAAATATCTATAAAAAATCTATCATTTCCGTCGCTACGCCTGGAAAATGGGAGAGATTTATGTTCCTCTTATGAGGTCATCCCGCCTTGCTTGTGATCTTTCCACGTAACCTGTTAGAAAAAAACTGTGAAAAAACGGTCCCACTGGCATTCTAGTGGCCGGTCGCCCCGTGAAAATAAACTGTTTCGCCGTTTTTATCATATTTTTTACGGATTTCTAGTGTTAAATTAGAATAAAAACGGCGACACGGTGTTTCTTTTCACGTGCCGACCGGCAAATGAAACTCGGGTAATACCGTTAACGGTAATTTTTCTAACAGTGTTACCTACAACTCACAACTTGGCTCCAAAAAGGGCCCATGTACAGTTACCCGAAATTGCGCATTTTTAGGGGGAACACATGACTAACGTTGATATAATTATGCACGAAAAGAAGTTTTCGATAACTTAGATGTAAGTATATCCTGATTTTGTTATATTATTAGTACCTTATATTTGAGGTCTTTTCTATTTCAATTATATTTATCTAGAATTTCCCTTGAATAGCTGGCATCACACTATAAGCTCGCGCTATCAAGCCCAAATTTAAAGCAATTGATAATTTCTATAGACCCTGTGGACTTTAAAATTATAATAAAATAATTTAAGAGAGAGTAATTAGAAAAGAAATCCAAAGCAAAAGAAGGGATAAAACATGTGAATAAGTGGTACAGACTTTCAAATTTTTGAAGTAACTTCAAAAAAGCTTCCTTGTACGCCACATAATTAAATAATATTTGGAATGATTACTGAAAATTGATAACATAATGTAAGTGAGAATTTTAATATCTTTATCCAGTCAAGTGCTTTAAATTTGCGTTTTTACTCTAAATTCTCGGTTGCTTGCCACCTTTCGGTGCTAGTACGATAAGCCTGTGAAACTGATAAGCCTATGAAACTCATATTTTCCAGTCTAAAATCTTCGAAAATTATCTCTTTTAAAATTATTATCGGTGTACTAGTCATTGGAGGAACACAGACATAATCCGTTTTTCTTCTCGACACTCCGGTGCTGAAGCTTTATCCGTTTTTTTTCCGGCACACGATGAATAACTGATAGGATTTAAATTACTACTATAATTTTAAAATACGTAGATGTGATGATAAAATGGTATACTCAATAAGTCAAATCTTATCAGGGATCTATTGCTTAAAATAAATCTGGCTGCTCCGCTTGAAAAAGCTTTCTTGACAACTTTTATTTCTTACAAATATTGAGACTCATTGCAACTCTTTGGCAGATTATACTCACTAACTATGAAATGCCTTCTTGAGGGCAAAAAAATATATTAGTAGGAACTTACTTACTTCCTAATTTGTGAATTATAAAGTTAAATAATTTTTACTTTATTCAAAAAGTATGTTTTTCAGCTTATTTTTGAGCATAGCTTCGTCTCTTGCAGTAAATTGAATTGCGTTGTACCAAATGCCTAATTCAATGCGATTAATGCAACCTTTATTTTGTAATAACAAAATCAGAATTTGTAATAATAATAATGTCTTTCACCAACCGAAGATCAGAAATCAATGTTGAAAATACAGAGTTCTTTTTGCTAAATGTTTAACTCGTGGCTGTTGTAATGATTTCTCGAAGACCCAAAATAATTTTACTCCAAACTGCGTAGTTTTTTCGACCAAAAATTTTCTAAGCAATAATTTTGTTAAGCTCATGATATGTCATTTCCAAACCAAATTAATAAATTTTTTATGTTGCAGGAGTGCAAGGTGGACGACGTGGTGTGCAAGAGGATCTACAAGAGGCAGGAGGAATGAGTCTACGTCTGCTCTGTCAAACTAGTGGATTTTTCTCCATCAGTAAAGCTTCAGGCTTTAAGTTTTCCTAGTTACACCAAGTCATTTTCTTAAGACGAAACCATGATTTCAAAAGCACCCACTTATATGTCAAATTTCATGCATGCGAATATAGTTTCAAAATATACATTATTTCGTGTGCCTTCTTTACCAAACAAACGATACGGTCAGCGGATAAAGTAGCATTTAAATTTCATTTGAACATGAATTATTCAATACCAAGCCGTCAGCCGTAATAACAGTTTCTGTCATTTGTTTACTAATTTAATACACATTCTTCAATAAATGATTTAATTGTTCTTGAACTGTTGACCGTTTCTACTGATGTTTATGCTCATGGACTCGAAAATAGTTAAACTATCGCATGAAATCTGCTAGCATTTAGTCTTTTTCTTTATAATTGGCTGTATCCTTCGACCGTCAACTGGTAATAAGAAATAATAATATGCTTCACATTTTTTATTATTCAATAAACTTTCTGTAATTTTTTTCATTTACAATTGTCCTTTTTGGTCAGTTCGCAGTATCTGGAACGCTCTTTACTTGCTGTACGGTAGCGTGTCGCATATTATATAGTGCGAGTCCATATTATATAGTGCAAGTCCATATCATATAGCGCGAGTCCATATTATATAGCGCGAGTCCATATTATATAGTGCAAGTCCATATCATATAGTGCGAGTCCATATTATATAGCGCGAGTCCATAGTTTATAGTGCAAGTCCATATTATATAGCGCGAGTCCATATTATATGGAGCGAGTCCATATTTTATAGTGCAAGTCCATATTATATAGCGCGAGTCCATATTATATGGAGCAAGTCCATATCATATAGTGCGAGTCAATATTATATAGTGTGATACCATATTGCCGCAAGGTTACTGGAGCTGAGTGACTGTAGACTAGCGATTTATAGTGCACTGCAGGAATTATTCCCTATCTTAAATGTGAAAGAACTCCCCCACCCCCCTCTCTTTCGGGATCTGTCGTGAACGCATAAATCAACGTACAGAGATTGTTTTGGTACCGTTGGATAGGTCAGAATGTCAGCTTTAAGATGAGACTAAAAACAGGAAAAGCCAAAATTGTCGATTTTGGACCAAGACGCTCCCATTAATAGATTATATTAAGCTTCATTGTAAAAGAAAAGCCTCCTGGAAACCAATTTATTTTATATAGCAAACATCCGTTGCCATATATATGGCTGACCCTGTACGTCAGGCTACTTTCCTGTGGGCTGATTGATCTAATTCAATAGATGTGATATGTCTGGTGGCTTGCGGCTGATAATGTTACAGTCAAGAAGTGTTATAGGCTACGTTCTTTAGGGAAGGAATCATGGTAGTCCATTCGAAGCACGGCAGTGGTGGTCTATGAGACTATGACAGGTGTCCCTACTGCACTGTGCTCGAGACTGAAAGGCATGGTATTTAGAAAATATTTATCTCTGTAACTAAATAGTCGGATAAAGTATAAACGTGGTAATGTTCAATGCAATTAATTGTATCAAACTTATCGAAATATTTCGTCAAGTGCCTACAGTAGAAGGACTCCCGAAGATGGGTTAAGTGATACGTTTGATGCTCATTTAGTAAGGATTCCTAGAGGTAACATGGCTATCACAGTATCAGTGCTGTGCACGATGGAACCGGTAGGTTCCCATAATATTTTGTTCGTTTATAGCAGACATTTGATTAGAACTTATTAGTAAAAAGAATACGAGGTATCAACAATTTTCAGGCTTAATATGTTTAACTTAGAACTTTGTTAATTTAGAACTGAGTGCAAGGATTTCTCATACAAATCACTTTCGTTACCATGACAACGTTGGTTGTCATAACAACAGATATGTAATGTTTATTTTCTGTTTGCCTAGCTCTGTCCTTAGTGCCGGAAATACTGACGGTCTTCCAGTGTAACCTTGATCTTTCTCGTTGAATGAGGACGGTTGTTATGTGGTTAGGCTTATCTCGTCTGAGTCGATCCGACTGATAATTATAACTTCATTGTAGGCTTGTACCTTGTAGCATGTGTCAAGTGGTGCCTTTGGGAAAGCTTCGCACGTGTGTGCTCCCAGAAGGGAATTTTTCTGAACAACATCATGGAGGAACCTAGACTGCGTCCTTGGCTCTGTTTGAAGTCTCGAAGACTGGAGTGCGCAGCTGCCCGACTAAGAATAGGACATGCTGGTGTCAGAAGCCACCTCCATAGGTTCAACATGAGCGACTCCTGACCTACTATAAACAAGAATTCAGTGGTTACCTACTCAGAAGAATTTAAACACAATACAGGCTCTCAGGCCCAACGGCCGTCCTCGAGGTCGACCTGTGGCTTTAAGTCTACCCAGTGTAGACACCCCGAAAAGAAGAAGAAGAAGAAGCACGTGTGTGACCAGTGTGAGTATCGTACGGTCACGCTCTCAAAACTATTAGGTACCCAGATTTCAAAATTAGTGATTATACTATTATCATTACCTATTCATTATGATAGTCAGTTGAACTCAGTTCACTAGGTAACTTATCTTAAGATTTTGCCCTTGCCAAGATAGGACATGAAAAACATCAGAGGAAAAAAAATGACCATTCATCTGATGATCTGGGCCATGATGATGATGGCATGATCTGGCTGCTGGCTCTGGGTCTGGGTCATTTAATGCTGAAGGGCCTAATGCCTGAAAGCCCTGAAGCAGACACTATTGCCCTATTTTGGATTGCCAATGCCTGAGACTCTGATTCTGAGAGTACTTGTTGTTTGGGACAAAATTATTTGAGAATGAGAAAAAAAATGGTAAATAGGTGGTGAATAGGTGATAGATAGGTAGATAAAAAGATAGTAAAGACTGAAGATATGATGGTGGAGAAAAAAAGATGGTAGGTCGAGAGATGAAAAAGAGATGGTGGTAAAGATGAACAAGACTACTTTTAATTAATAGTTTGTATATTTTTAGGGTCATGGTTTGTGTATATAATACAAGCATAGTGACAAACCAGAGAATTTTTAGACTCATCCTCAAGTTCAATTTTGATTCCTATAGGTAGAGCAGCAAAGTATCATGGACACCAGCAGCCCAGAGAACATCTGTAGACTGTATATATAGTAACTTTTTGTCACTCTTTGTTCTTCTGGTGTGTATTTGTGATGCACAATCCTATGGATATCAAAGAAGACAGCTGACAAGACATCACCTTGATTTTGCTTTGCTCCTGTTGCTCTTTTTTCTGCCTTTTTTTGACAAAGACATTGTGTACCTAGCACCTCACTCAGCGACTCCGACTGATAGGTCAAGACTTACACGATGGTAAACTGTGACAAAATTAACGCATACACATGAAGATATCTTACTTCACTGTGTAGACTGTAGAGTAATGTCACGCTATGGTTTCTATTTTGCATGGGAAAAATAAATGTTGGATATGGTATATAGGTATACCTTTTAGACAGGCCTTGTATTATAATTTCATGATTGACTAGGTGAGTTACATAAAGGTGTGATATATTTATTTAAATACATACATGGTCAGTGTTCGTTTTTTATTTTTTGAAGTTTGTGGATGAAAATTTGTTATTTATGTATGTTGTATTGAGAGATATGCACAAGCATGTATTTATGTTTTGCATGCATTGAATGTATTGTAAGTTTTATATTAATGTAGATGGGGAGAGAGAAAGTGGGACTGTGTTAATGCATGGCTAACTTGTTTTGTTATGTTGAAATAGTGTGTATAGTGGATATATATGTATATAACTACTTTAACAACACACATTGTGACATTTAAATGAGTTTACTTCATAAGTGTCTATATACTCAATTAATTTGCAGTTCTAATGTTATCTTCGTAACTTCACCCTTCTCATTGTTTCAATTTTCATCTAATATTGTTTTCTTGAGTGTTTTCAATTGACTTTCATTTGAGCCCATTTCTAAGCATTTGCTTGATCTATCAATTCACTAGTTCTACATTTCTGCATTTACTGCATATTTTCTCAGTTTTACCAGTTGTCCATTTCCAAGATATAGCATGAAAGTTTAATACCTTATTAGTCTTCTAACATTTTAATGTTTGTAATTATTTGTATCTTTATGTCTTACAGCTCTTCTATGACTGAGTGAGGCTATTCTTTAACAATTCTATATTACACTGAACTTGTACCTACTGAATAACGATAAATTTAGCACATATTGCACGTGATTTAGTAACTTTATTACTATACCAATTCAGCTTCTACTGCTCAGTCATAGCGTATTATGAGTTCATCACCCTGTGGTTGAACTTGGGTGACCATCTTTGTCCTGCATGCTTATCAATAGTTCAAAACTGTTGATCATCTAATTGGCACAATCAAATAGAATCAGCAATGGAACTGAATGCCTTTTTGCCCTTGACCACATTACCAGTTTGGAAGTGAGTGTTTGGTTTTCATTACTTTGGAGGCAGTTTTGTGTTGCACTGTTTTTGACCTCTCAAATTCTTTTGACTATGTGACTGTTCACAAATTGCAAAACTTGGAAATAGTGGGGTACATTCTTGCATGGTTATAACTATACTTCAGCTTGCATACTTTTCTACTCTTCTTTGAAGGTGTCTACAATGAAAAGCTTCCTATTTACAGTGATCCCTCAGGAAGCAGCCCTCACCTTTCTTGTCTGATCTGCTTCTTTCTTGTCTGATCTGCTTCTTTCTTGTCTGATCTGATTCTTTCTTGTCTGATCTGCTTCTTTCTTGTCTGATCTGCTATTTTCTTGTCTGATCTGCTATGAGCATGTTTACCTGCAAAAATTCTAGGAGTGCATTTTGTATTTAAATATTATCATACCTTGGATGTTTGTTCTTCTTTTGTTGATTATGTTAAGATTTATAGTCTATTTCGGAAGCCAGAATATCACTTGTTTACAAGACCAAAACAAGACAAAAGTAAAAGGTCTTTGCACATTTCAGCCATTTAACTGCAGGATTTTAGTTAAGACTCTTCTTCAAAGTTGTTTATGAACTTCTGAGTTCATGAACTCCAAGAATTATGTCATAAATAGAGTTATAGTCTCAATAAACATACCTACTGTATGTAAATATCATTGAAAAAATAATGTTCTTTATAGTTCAAATGTATTTTTTTTCTCTCTTTGAGAAACTAGGTACATTTTGTCAATTTAATTAACACCAAAGTTGGAATGGATGGTAAACCTAAAGTTTAGGTAGGGCTTATGTAAAACAGTTGAAACCACTACCTATGTGAAGTTTATTTCACTAGCAATGGAATGGCCAAAAAAGGGCAGAAGAATTTAGACAAAATTGCAAAAATCACAAATGCTCCTTTTTTTGTTTCATGTCATTGCAATTGGTCCTGCATTATTGTAGAGCAAGTCAGCAATCTGGTAATATCTATAAAACTTAATAGGTAATTCGAAGATTTTTATGAACTCACATTGATATGGGTTAGTTTTTTAAGAGGCTTCCACTATATGTATGTGATGAAAGATTAAAGTGCAATACAATATGTACGTAATTTATGAAAGATTTATCCCTCTTGTATTGACATTATGTTTGTTTTTCTAAGACAGAAAATTATAGTACATATAACATGAATGAACATTTGGGGAAAAATGAGAAACAATTGCCTTTCAAAAAACGCAGGTGTTGCGAAAAGTCATCTGATGCCCCACACTTTAAAAGGAGATTCATTGATGTGAACAATAATAAATCAAATGACACAGTTGAACAAAGAGAAGAAAAGCTAGTTAAGAGTCTTGAAGCAAAAATAGTAGAAAGACTGCCAAGGCAGCTCAATCTTTTTGATAGAGGGAACTATAACTCAGAAGATTTAACACTACTTGCTCTAGAGGAGAAAGAACTCCGGCTGCCATTGATTAAGCAAGAAAATCTTGAGGTAAGTTTTTTAGTCTTGGATCGAGGATGTACCTATATCTTGAAATATCACATTGCTCTATTTCATTTGCTATCCATTCTATTCATGAGTTATGTCAAGTGTCCAAAATTTATTTCTGCTTGAAAACCAGAGAAATTTCTGCCCATTGCTATTGGTCATGCCATTTCCTTAGTAACCATTTTAAAATTATCTACAGATGCTGAAAGACTTTGAGGTGGAAAAACTGATCAGATCTCTGTGCGAGAAATTCGAATTCAGCTTAATGACTTGGCAGTGCACCATCAGCTGCCTCCTGCGCTTCACTGAACTGGAGCCCAGTCTGGGCAAGTTCGGCGTCTTGAAGGTTGCTTGCCGGACGCTTATATTTTTTGGTAAGAAACTATTACTCAAATAATTAAATGAAAACATGTATGAAAAATGCATGCCCGTACATATGAAAACACCCATGAAAAAAATGCATGCCCGTGCATATGAAAACACCCATGAAAAAAATGCATGCCCGTGCATATGAAAACACCCATGAAAAAAATGCATGCCTGTGAAAATATGTATTTGAATCTTTTTGCCAAGTGATGGTTTTACAGCAAATGCCAAGCCTTTTTTTTTTTTTTTTTTGCTGCCTTCATTACATGCTGCACATGTTTACCATGATATTTATTCCATTTGCACTTTTTTTAACATTGGTTCTTTGTTTTCAGTTAAAATAAACGAAGCAGACGAGACCATTCCCACAAACGTTATGGTTGTTGAGCATGTGCGGCAGCAGGAGCCTTCCTTCCCATGGGAGTTTGTTAACCTCTTCGATGGATTGATTCTGTTGGACTCAAAGAGTCTAGGTAATTATTCATCATATTCTCTTGATTTCTTTCTAGTGCAACTTTCTCAATAACTCTTAAATACAGTCAGACTTAGGTACTTACCTTAACTACAGTCACGTTCTGTCAGAACGTGAGATGCTATCGAGACTGCCGATAAAAAGGTTTTCTGGAGACAATGGACTGTGGTAACGCCTTATGACGTGTTGCGTTGCAAAGGCTATCTGTATAAGCGGTCAGTCAATGAGTTAAGCCAGCTGTGCTCACATTAAGCTGAGGTTATCTTCTATATCAGAAGAGCTGCTCATGCACCTGCTATTGTACTGTACTGTATTGCACTCCCTGGCGCCTGATTTGTACTGTACTGTATTGCACTCCACTCCCCAGCTACATGTCTGTACACTTACTAAACTTTGAACTAAAATACGCTTATTTCCTCACTACAGTTACACCTGCCGAGTTCCTGAGCTGTTACTTGAGCGTCGCAGCCGCGGTAGATTTTGACCCTCGACCACGTACGGAACCCAGGCCGCGAACTCGTGCGTCCGTGGCAGCAGCGCAGTCAGGGACCTCGACTCGCCTATGGCGTGCCGTGCGCTCGGTGGGCGAGGACAACTCGAAGGCGAAGGATGACTTCCTGCGCATGCGCGTGGAGGCATTAAATCTGATGAATCGAGTTGCTTCCGGTAAGTTCAATGAACGATGAACGTCATAAAAGATATAATAACTCAGTACTCACTAGAGTGAGTGTCAGGGAACGCATTTTCTCGTCGACGAAAACGTGAAGTCACGGACGGACAGACAGACGGATGGACATGCAGAGCACAACAGTGCATTTTTTCCATAAATGAGAAAATGCGCTAAAAATGGAGTTCCCCTCTAACGTATCATGATTTCACTACCCACTTGTTGTCCCCAGACTATGCTCACTACCATAGTTTTTGTCACCAGACTGGGCCCACTACGGTAATTACTGTCCCCAGACTGGGCCCGCTACAATTACTACCCACTTGTTGTCCCCAGACTATGCTCACTACCATAGTTGTTGTCCCCAGACTGGGCCCACTACCGTGGTTGTTATCCCGTTACTGTCCCCAGACTGGGCCCGCTACAATTACTACCCACTTGTTATCCCCAGACTGGGCCCGCTACCATAGTTGTTGTCCCCAGACTGGGCCCGCTACCCGCCGTCGAGTGTGGCCGCTGCTGCGGTGTTCGCCGCTCGCGTGCAGGTCCGCCTCCCGCTCAGCTGGCCGGCCGCCCTCCGCACCCTCACAGGCTACAGCTTCCAGGACGTCGGCGTGCTGGCCGCTGCTCTTGCATTTTTGTCGTGAGTAATTCCCTTAAGAATAAACTTGCGTCGCCTTGTTCATAACAGGGCCTATACTTTCAAAAAAAGTTAAGAGATCGTAAGTTCATCAGGCAATCATAGACGGTCTTTCAAGCAAAATCCACCAATCATAGACAAGAAAATAGAGCGTGAGTACTTACGTTCACTTAGCGAGTTTTGAAAGTATGACCTCAGATCTTTAACACGTTAAGTGCAAAATAACGAAAAGTAAAAGAATCGGCGACAGGCCACATCAGACCTACTCTTTAGCGCCGACATCACTATGTTATGTTATGAATAAAATATAAATAATTAGAATAAATAAAATAATTAAAATATAATAAAAAAAATTAGTGTTTATTTATTAATACCTAGTTATATTCAAGTAGAGAATAAACATGCATCGCCTTGTTCAATGCAGATCATTAAGTGATATTTAGTAATAGTGATATTCAAATAGAGAATGAACTTGCGTCACCTTGTTCATTACAAATCATGAAGTGATTTTCAGTAATAATTATATTTAAATAATAATAAACTTGCGTCGCCTTGTTCATTACATATCATTAATAATGATATTCAGTAATAGTCATATGCGAATAGAGAATGAACTTTCGTCACCTTGTTAATTAAAGATCATTAATAGTGATATTCAGTAATATCATATTCAAATAGAGTTAAAAACAAACAGATTGTTAAAACAGAGATACAAACATGTTGAGATAAAATTGAACTTGTTGTTCTGAAATTACCAATCAAATTTCGTTGGCAACCCGTATCCTTTAAATTTAAATTTCTAATCAGAAGAAGCCGGTAGAAAATGACATTTCAGTGCGTTTTCTTATTGGTTATTTTCGGTCCTAATCAGGACCGAAACTGCAGGTAATTTGGGCTCCTCCGCTGCCGAGGCTCCGTCTGATCCATCCATCCAATGGCTGCCTCAACCTTCTTTCCGAGAAGTCCACTTGCTTACCCAAGAACCAAAGACGACATCTGCAGCCACAAGCATGAGTCCTTCGGCTCTCACAGAAACCAGTCTCCAAAATCATGAAGACCATGTCCTTCCGTCAAACGTTCGGCCCCTTCAGCATTCTCCGACGGCACAGACCCTATTGAAATATCCATCGTCTTTCTCTGCTCAGAGGAACGAAAGTTTTCTGGTCATGAGATCAACGGCTACTGAGCTGGAGTATAGAGCCGAGCTTAGATCAAATACGGAAGAATATAAGTTTGTGCCTCAAATACAAACCGATTTCGCGAACTTTTCTCTTGCACAGAAGGGTTCACCTTCGTCGAACATGGCAATAAGAAACCTAACCATTATTGATGGGCAAAATATTCACAGAAAAGAACACGGGTTCTTGCAAGAAAATGAGAGCACTGTTTTGAACGTAACTAGTGACTCTATTAACTTCCCTGTCACACCTACTGCTCTTGACGTTACTAGTGACGATATTGACGTTGCCACAAATCTCTTAAACGTTTCCAATCCCCTAAACGTTCCCAGTTTGCTGATAAACGTTGCCAATCCTATAAACGTCCCTTATTTCCTCTCGCCTATAATGGTGCCAATTTCTGAACCGATATCTTCTATTCAACCCGCCCTGAGAATTTCGTCTCAACCCGTCCTCCACGGTCCTGATATATCAAAAAATAACTCATACTTCCTTTATTCTCGCACTGCATGTAAATCATCCTTGCCGACGTGGCTAATAGAACGCAATTTTTCTGTACTGAACGACTGGAATAATTTCGTCAGTCGAGTGAATCCGGGACTTGTTTACCAGAACTTGCTAGAGAACTTAATAGTCGCCATGCCCTGTGTCTATACTGAACCTTTTCAGGTGATCGCGTCCGATTCATACCCCGCGTCCGATTCATACCCCGCGTCCGATTCATACACCGCGTCCGATTCATACCCCGCGTCCGATTCATACCCCGCGTCCGATTCATTCCCTGTGACTAGTTACGCGCAATTTTGACGTTGCATCGTTCTAATTTCGCTCACAATGCTTTTCATTTTGTGTTCCGAAGTAAAGTTAAATATTTTGTATCCAAATACGTCATCACTTGGATTAGTCGGCGACATTTTGTGTCTCCTGCGTAAGTTTAATATAACTTCCCTGTCCGCATTCCGGCGTATCTTGTAAATTAGATCTCATGTTGTGATATTATTGTGGCTTGCATAGTCTAAGGCATGTATTCCTTGGCAATAAGTTGGTGCTTATGACGTTCCATCTTTATTATATATCATAATTGTGTTTTTCAAAAAATGTTTGATGTAACAGTTTATGTGAAAGCATGATTTTCTCAATATTGTATCGTTTGACCACGCTTGTTAGCTGCTTTAGGTATAGGAATGCTGTGACAATTATGGCAATTTTCACTTTTTCTTAAGAATTTCTCATCATTTAATTGATCAGCATTGTTTGGTTGCATGAGAATTTTCTGACATTCATTTCTGTCGCGATACAGCAAATTGTTGCACTGCTACGCTGAGATCATCACTCTTTATTATTTGCAGTCAAATTGTATTTTCTATTCCTAAAAAAATTTCAACTTCATTGAAGTGATCAGCTAGATTTGTTGGATTTATTTCCATTCCATAGAATATTGAGGCTCGTCGTTGTCACATTCTTCGTGGGAGTTACTATAGAGAACTTTGAAACATAGTCGCTGTTCTCAGACGTTGTATAGAAGCTGTGAACCTGCTATAAGTCGCGCTTACACTAGATAGTAAACCCCTAGTTGATATGTTCAGATGTTGAATTGAGGCTGTGAACCTGCTATAAGTCGCGCGCACNTGTCTCTTATACACATCTAGATGTGTATAAGAGATATGTTCAGATGTTGAATTGAGGCTGTGAACCTGCTATAAGTCGCGCTTACACTAGATAGTAAACTCCTAGTTGATATGTTCAGAAGTAGTAAATCTCTTGTCCTAGATTGTTATTCATCTATAAAACTGTACTTTAAGCGCTGTGCTGCAATTTTCAAACGAGCTTGCTTGTTTGTTACTGACATGGTGTGCTAGGCTTCTACTAGCCATTTATTAGATTGCCTAACCCTTGCCGATTTCAATCGAAACTTTTCATTTACACGCATCATATCCATTAAAAAATGATCCTGCAGTAATGACAGTACTTAGCTTAACCTTCTTCTCTGCCAAATTCATATTTATTGAAAAATCTTGAAAATATAAACGATTTTTGCAATTAGCAAAACTTATTTCTCCGCTTGATGCGTGTGTGGTCTATGTTTCTAAAGCTTAGAAATTTATTAATAAATTATTATAATGTGTCCTATATTCGTAGTTTTCGAGAGCCACTTGAACGTACGATGTCTTTGCAGTTTTGCAGTAATATTGATGAATCAGTACGGATAAATTGATTGTATTTTCCTGTTAACGCTAATATCATGGACAATTAAAGCGTTACAAGATATTCCGTTTTCGTCCATAGTTATCTCATAACGCTGTTAACAATAAATATTATGTCCAATTAAAGTAATATATTACTTTGATTATAATATTATTGTTACAATTATTATGTCCAATTAAAGCGTTGGAAGTTATTTTTTTATAGCTAAGATCAAGACCTTGTAGTGTCTCACTTAGTTAATTTGAAGTTAATTAGTTAGTTAGCAAATAGTTAATTCAAAAAAGCAAATAGAATTGTCTATGTTGTAATTAATCTGATCCACTGCCTCCTAGAATGACAAGTTCGATCACTGGTTCACTTCGCTTATTTGGTTTCTTCTTTATGGACAAATAAAATCCGAGTAACTTCGTTCTTTTATTACTAATAAAATTCAGAGATTAGAGTGTATAGGATCAAGTAAAAATTCAAGTACTTTTTTAATATTTCCTAGCATTTCAGCCGCTTTTTAAAGGATGCATACGTATGAAGTTGAGCTTGATAATTACTTAAAGTAAAATATACTGAAGTAGAACAAATCAACCTTGTGGTCGTCTTCACCAGCTTGGGGTAGCCTGCCGTAGACCACCACTGCCCTGGATGTAATGGACCATCATGATTCCTGCCTTCCGGAACGTAGCCTTCAACACTTCAAGCCGTCCGTATCTAGGCCGTAGGTCGAACCAGACCTCGGTCGAACGGCCACTTGTCGAAGGACGATAAATTTTGGAACAGAACTATGCTATCTGAAACCTAAACTCAGATGCGGTGAACGTAAAATTACGTAATTTAACGATGCCCGGAAGTCAGATTCGATCCGCGGTCTGGTGGTGCACGGCTGGTTTTATGCAAGGCAGGAGGAGGATAAAGCCGAGTGGTTCACGGCTGATTGGTGGATGTCCGGAGAGATCCAAGGCGTTTGATTCAGGGCTTATTGGTGTACAAAATTGGTGGTGCACGGCTGCGCTCCCCCAGTTTGTACGTCAACAATGTCTTCATTGAACGTCAATGTTTCAATAATTACATGTGATACGGCCAAAAGTTTAATGGAATCTTCGTTTATCACTCCAAGCGAAAAGAAAAAAATCAAAGAAATTTGACTAAATGTTTGAGGATCAGAAATTAAAGATACCATTTCAATCTCGTTGGTGTATACAGAATGGCTTCAAACCAAGCTCCAATAATCACCAAACAGCAAGAATAGCTTCAAAGTAACATTGACACGAGTTTTAATTATCACTGATAGGGCGAATAAATTGAATTTGAAAAATTACACTTAATGAACACATTAAATAGAAACAAAGACGGCATTCATAAACGATAATCAGGTTTATATCTAACGTTGTTATCTGTGGTTTGACGTCAGCTTTTTCACTTCGGTTTTAACCACACGAGCGATTTGAGTAAACGGGGGCACTTCACTACTCCAATCCTGCTACTCTGAACTGTAACCACTAGACAATATTTCTCATCTTTCTCTGAATGTGTGAATTGGCCAAACCTTCTGTGGCGCAGTCCTGATACAACTTATCTCAAGTAAGATTCACCATAATTTTTGCAATCTGCAATATTTAATTTACATGATATTCCATCCTTAGACTATGCTATAGTTTGCCAAGAATCAGAGTTTAAAAGTTAAAATATATTTCATAATTCATATGATGAAAACCTTACATTAATTAGCATTCATGCAGAAAAAAAACCATCAAACTATTTAGTTAAGCTGAGAATTATAGTTAATACAGTTTGAATATTATACACTTGCATAGTACACACATGCTGAGAATACGACCAGTCCGACGAAGTACGCATCCACGCAGAGCTTCATTCCAGATAAAATGTTGGTATTGATTCCAATCAAATTCTTTTGACTCGAGCAAAAATACGAGACGCGTCATCGATCATAATATAATTTTTTTTACACGTTGTAATTGTTATATTTTCTTCTCTTTGTACATCAGCGGTTTTTTTTTCGTGAATCAACTATTTATGTTGATGTTAATTAATAATGTAATGTCACACGCGTCCGCATTATTCATAGTTAATAAGGTAGAATTTTCTACCGCTTCCGGTTTCCTCTCTTGTTACAAGTGCATTCAATATGACGTACAAACCTTAGCTTGTGACCTCAAGATTTGAACAAGGCTTCAAATTTATTCAGTCTTAAAATGCCTAGCAAATTACGGACCAGTCAATAAGTCCAGCAGCTATCTCAATCAATCGTCAGCTATGGAAAGATCGGGTTCCAGAGGCCGGATCCCTTGTGAATCAAGTCACGAAAAGTACAAGAATCGGCAACAGGCCATGGGCCTATTTCTTCAGTGCCGACACTTCTATTCTATTCTACTCACTCAGTAGCTCAAAACGCAGCCAAGTTCGGTCATGCCTCACCACCTCGCGGTTCTCATCAAATTAAGCAACTCAAACATCACTGCAAATGTATTTTTATATTAGATTAGTTAGGCAGGAATTATCTCGCGAAGCAGATTTTACTGAAAACCGGAGAGTAATTTTATAAACGATTTGTTATTGTTCACTAATTGGCGAATTAGACTCTGTAGAATTTGAAAGTTTGATTATTATGTTTCCAAGTGAGATATTATTATATTATTACGACGTTTCATATATACCATGTTCATGATCTTGTAAAGTGTAGGTTTCGCACACCTAAAATTCGGATTACATTAATAATTTCGGCAACGGAATTCCGTGCCGATCACATGGACTACGTATACCGTAAGAGACTGCCAGCTTACCAGGCTCAGTTCTTAATATTGTTATAAAACTTATGAGCTGTGATTGTATTCAAGGAGCCTAAATAATATAACCTAATACATTAGGACATTTATAAATTATAATTGTTCGCAGCAAAACGTAAGCTCTTACCGAATTATTAATGAGTAAAATGCTTTTCTCGATGTTCTGAAGGAGACATGCCTTTTGTAACGACATTATATCTTCAGGGCTAGAAGATAATATAATTTCGATAACATAGTTTTTTCAGAATTATAGGACAATTGGGACAACTCTTGCTAATAAATTTTTGAAAGAGGGGAAACAAAACAAAGAGAAGAAAATTTTCCTCAAACTTTTGGACTCTCGATAACGGACCTTTTCTGGCTAATTTCGCTTAAGTTTTTCTAGTTTTGTGGTTGGTATTTGAATTCACACGAATTTTCGTTAGTTATGGAAATGTACCGGGTTTGGGAGAAAAAAATTCTAAACTAAAAATTTGTTTCAACGGAATGGTGCAATTTTTGCATTGTATAACTCTATATATGTGTGTATATATATAATTATGATCGTCACGAGTATCTCTGAAATCTTGGAGTTCATAGATCTGAATTTATCACTTCGAGACAAACAAAATGTTCCGTCAACACCCACAAGAATTATCGGCCTGTTGTCATCATTCCTTCTCGCACAATTCAATAGTTCGTGTCGATGTTTTTGCAATTGAACCAATATTTTAGTATTATTTTCAAAGAAGCGTTCATTTCAAATGAAACATGAATGTTAGCGCAATAAGCAAATACGTATAGTCTCTTAATTGGGCTATCACAGATAATTAAAGCACAAACCATTTAAGAACAAGTTCGTCTTTGCGATTTCTGTTCAAATAAATGAATATTGATTTCAATTATTCGCTTGTTGAAGCTACGACTACTATTTTAAGTTAAAAAACTTAGACGAATAATTATTTCCTTTTTATGGGAACCCGCCAATTTTTTTATTCAAACTTTACATAGGCCCTCTCGATCAAGGCTGGTCGATTTCTTCGCGAATTTTATTTAGTTTCATATAATATTCCAAATTTTAATAACTTCTTTCTAATCATTGACCGACCAAAATTATGAAAAGACTTCGTACACAAATAAGCTTTGATCGCACGTAGTATCTTCCTCTCCCTCTGCATTACCAGCTGGGTAGCGATGGTAATCTTCATGCCGGAGTCCTTGTCTGTAAAAGAAGAGACAAAACGTTGGTTAATTAACTAATAAATTTTATCAATAATTATGTAGTTGCTGAAAAGCCCGTAAGCTAATATCTGTCATGCCTGAATCCTGTACCAAAAGACAGCGTTTGCGTGATGGTCTCGTAAACATGTGCCATGTATGCATCAACGACACGCGACGTGGACCTCAGCCTCGCGTGCCTCACTGAACAAACGCTTGAGCTTGTAAGAACTTTTATCCTTCAATAAAGAGCAGCGACTAAATGAGTCTCAGTTACGACGACAATACCTCAGAGGCATGCGATGCCATGACTGCAGCTGCCAACCGTAATTGACTCGTCCGTGTGGGGTTAAATGAATGTTAGAAATAAACATCGTTGGTACAATTCGCGAATCAATACTGCTTTGCATGCGATTTTTGACCATCCGTTAGAATTGTATTTGGTAAGTGAATGCCTTCTTCGATCGTCACAGAGAACGCGTGTCTGACCTGCTGCATTTATTCCTATTTACCATTGATCGAGCGTGAATTTACCCAGAAGAAGGCTCTCCTGGGGGCCAGCAAGAAGGCTCTCCCAGAATTTACCCAGCAAGAAGGCTCTCCTCGGGGCCAGTCTACGCTGACTGCTTGCCTTCACTTTGAAGTTAAAAGCTTTTTCCAGTTGTAGCCTCGTCAATGCCTATTTTCTGCGTTCATGTGTCATTGCTATTGACTTTATCCTCTATATATACATTTTGAAAAGAAAATGATCCTTGCTCCTGGAAATTTCAGCCAAGTTAACACGAGTGTTCTCTATTAATATTTTTCCCTTAAGTCGGTAAACCATGATCGTAAGGCAAAACTTCCAAACATGTTGTTTATCCCACAATTGCCAATGTTTTTTTATGCCTAAAAAATGATATCGCTCAATTGAGAAAAATTAGAGAACGCTTAGAAATATATTATATTTGTGCTAAATTCCAGTTCGCTTCTGCTCCTTGAGCCATGAAGCTCAATTTTACAGACACGTAAGTGTAACAAAGTATCTGGCCGAGTTGTAGTTGGCTTCGAAGTAGTCATAAAATGTTAAACAACCGGTGGTTAAATTTTTAATTTCAGCAGGAGCATTACTTGATGGCAGCTGCTATTCTACTCTATTTTAACGACCTTTATAATATTGATTTCATATTTCTACGGGCATTTGAGATTTTCTTGACTCACAACGAAAGTGATTTTAGAGCAGCTACACGAGTCGCTAGCATCTCACAGAGCAACTTATGATATAATTAGGATAATATGTTTTATAATATATTTTAAATATTTAGAGGAGCAAAACAATAATTTGTTAAACAGGCCATGAAATGAAGAGGCTCTTGCCTTTTCATTCCGGTGTTTGACCAAGTTACTAAAATTTGCGACAGTGGGGGCAAGTATATTAGCACTTGAGATCACACACTACAGTTAAACGTTCGCTCCAAAGAATGAAACCACAAGAGCGGCTGAAATTATATAGAGATGAGAAGTAAGCTGTGATGAAGCGCAAAGTCTGTTAGGCACATTTTATAAATCGTTTACGAGCTTCCTTCATTTTTACTCATGATAAAAACTGTACTGATTGCTTTATTCAAGTCTATAAATCACACACGTCGTCAATCAACTCACGAAAAATATTTTTGGATATACAGTTCACTTATTTCTAATCCCATTACCGTTTTTAAAAGTATTGATAGTAATTTTTTATTTATGTATCAAATGACAAATTATCCCATTAGATAATTTTTATTTCTCTAAGATGTGCATCAACAAACCATCAAGTGACAATGGGGTGACGCTTTTCCATTGGGAAGAATGAAATGTGGGCCAAATCAATACGTGTTGACATGGATGAAAAAATCCATTAGTGCGGCAAGGCACGGAAATAGTTACGGTATAAGACAATCAAAGGAAATGCAACACTAGGCTTCTCCAAGAACGAAAGCACAAACGCTGGAAAAAATTTGTGATGAAGAAAGCGGATTCAAATGTAGTCTACTTTAGTTAAAGAAAAATATAGCGAATTTAATTGGCGCTTTTCTAGCAGTGCAAGAATTTTAGTGCCAGCACAAGGCAGTGCCAGCACTCCAGTGCCAGGCGCTCAATAAGAGCCTGCGTGTCGCAGTGCAAGGTCATGATACCGACGCCCGCCTCCTCAGGCCAGCCTGCTGGCAGTGGGCAGAGTGTGCAACCCATGTTACCAGAGTGTGCAAACCATGTTACTAGAGTGTGCAACCCATGTTACTAGAGTGTGCAACCCATGTTACTAGAGTGTGCAACACATGTTACTAGAGTGTGCAACCCATGTTTCTAGAGGGAGCAAAGTTCGTGCAAATGAACGTCTTTGTATGTTGTTCGAGTCATTTAATTAAAACATTTTGCAGACAAGGTTTGGTTCTTCCCCTTATTAAAATCTTTTTCAAAAAAACTGTGTGTACTGATGAAATATTAGCCCATAAAACTATCGTCGCGATTGATGATTGTCTAACAAATAAAATCTTCTATTTAAAAATACGAAATTAGGACAGATACAATGCACATTGTATACAATGCAAAACAAACTTCGGATTCAAATTATTCGTTTAAATTTTTTTAAGCGTGCTTGTCGAGAGCAACCCGAAGCTGAATGACCATTGCACCCACCAGTTTAGTTTATAATAATTAAAACACCTCCTCAACTTGCGCACTCAGGCAAACTATGTTAAAAATTCGTCATTTAACGCAGCGAAGCTCCAGGTCGGAGCTTAGAGTTCATGCATATGGCATCCCGTCTTCCACCTCAAGTACAGGTAAGACGTGGTGTAGGATGGAAACATATTTCCCATTTTTGTTTTGATTATTTTCGTTACTGATCAAACTTAGAAATCTCACGAACCACTTCATATATCCTTCAACCTGCAATATTAAGGTCACTATCACAGAACATCCTACTCCGCACCTCGCAATAACTTTCCGGTGTATCTCATGCGCAATTCAATATTCATAAACCCTCTACCAGGAAATGTAAGAAGTAACTAAATGGACGAAATTTTCAGTTCGCAAATGTCGTTGCTTTCTCGTATGTAGCATTCAACATTCATAATTGATAACTATCCATCAAATCTTCAACTAGAGCGTCGGCTATCATGCAGGCTCCTCTCTGATTGATCTTGCCGCAGAACTGTGACAAGATGTCGGTTTTATCTAAATAATCATTCGAGTTCTTAATTACCACCTAAACTAACACAAACTTTTTGGTGTTATTTGAATAATTTTATGGAACGAAATCCTGTTGAATCGGTTGGGACAGGCCGGTTTTCATATACTCACACCAGTTGAAAGTTCCCAATGCTGATTTTAGATAGTGCATTAAGTCAAAGATGCCGGATACTCGTTTTGAATATATTTGAAATCTCAACATGTAAACCATTATAATTTTTCCACTCTACAATTTTCAACTAATTTTTCAGACCAAATCTCATGTTTCTCTATACTAAAGTTCATGATTCGCAGCTCCAACATAACAATCTGACCAAAATCACGAATTTTAACGTTGCAAAAGAAGTAAGGAATGTTAACAACTTCAAGAAGGTTCCATAACGTTAAAAAAACTTCACATACATTGTAATTGCAGATCTGTCCTGCCTCTACCGCATACTCGTGCATATACATATAGTATTCATTAAATAAATTAAGATCATAGCGGTTTTGAAGGCGGATAACCCTAAATCCAGCCTAGGAAACGTATTAAAAATCGAAAAAAACTCTTTCGTTGTTCATTTATTCAAAGTAAATATCCATCACAAACAAGCAAATGCTTCCTAAAATAGTAAATTTGCTATAAATACTCAACTTCCAACATTGACCACTATATCACAATATGCTTTGTGAACGCCTGATGCCAACACCAGAAATAAAACCTCCATAGAGCCTGAGTCCCTCAACATGATTGTTCCTGCAGCGCCCAACGCTTCGATCGCACGACGCTTCAGGACACTGCAATCGATGCGCTAAAATAGCCCTTGGGTTCCGGAGCTCGTTAGTGGTGAGGGTGGAGTGACTTTTGGTGATGTTACAGTAATGGTGTACTGCTGTGATGGTGGTGTGATGTCTTGATGGAGGTGTGATGTCTTGATGGTGGTGTGATGTCTTGATGGAGGTGTAATGTGCTGCCTTTGAATGGTGTCCTGTCTTTAATATCCGTTGATGTTGAATCGCCTGTTGATGTTTCACTTCTTAATTGTTTTGTACTGCGTCAATGATGTTTCAGCGCCTCAATGATATTGTACTGTTTCAGTGATATTGCAATGCCTCACGTCAAATTCGCACTAAAGTAGGACAAATAGTAGCGTATAAGATCCATAATATGGTAACAAACTTTCATTTAAGCTAAGCTAGAGTGAATATTCGATGACCAAACGAAATTGCCTATAGGTCCTATCTATTGAAGTAACATCCGAGGCGAAACATTGTAAAAAAATTTGGTGATTTAAATTCCTCATTAGTAAAACACCAAATTTGCATGACCCACCGATATCTACTGATTTACTGGCTAACTCGAGGTAAATACTGGGAGTCGAGTTCACCAGCAACTGAGAATGACACGAGCGATCATAACTCATTACTACTTTTTGCTTCAGAAGAGATTCATTTGCAGAGCCACTCTAGTCTCGACCGCGATATGGGGTCGCCGATCGTAATAGTGAAGAGAGATTAAATGCGAATTCTAAATTATTAAATTCATTTAGCTGTTTGAATGCATGCATAACATCAGCAGCCCAAAGGAACGATGCATTCCGTATAAGTGTCAAAAAACAGGAAGCGTTAGCGTAAAGCGTAAATTTTAATGAGTGGGACAAAGGAACAACTGACAGACTGAGTTCTAGCTTCAACGCCCGTAAGAACAGAAAATCGTAACATTCCCAGCAAGAGTGAAGCTCGTGCTTAAGATATTTTAGGATAACTCGAAGAATCGCCCTCTTCAAACTCTGACTTAATATATTGGTTGGAACA